TGATGTATCGTTTGCCATTTAAATTGCATATACAAATCCCTCTTGATTCCATATATATTTCTGATTGTGTCTAGATTATTATACATTGACTTACATTCTATTCAAGGTAGAAATAATAAAAATGTCATACTAAATAATTGGCATATATGTATTTCTTACAATTTTTTGCTAAAATATTTGATGTCAGTTACACATGTCCATATCCAATCTGATCTGACGATGCAATCAATCTTAGTACATGCCTGACCTATTCGAGCGAACACAATCTATCATTTCATTATCATTTATCAACATCCTAAACTATTCTCATGAGCGACTCTTTTCTACTAACATGGACTCATTTTCATAAGTAAATGAATCCATTCATGACGAAGTTTACATACATCATGTTGTGTTAATATTAAATCTATGCTATTATATTCTTTGCGATATCGAATGGTCCTTATTATAGGTTGTTCATTTAATTCTAATTCTACATTCTACTTTAAAGTTGAATTTCCTCGTCTGCGTACAAATACTATTTATGAGTTAACATATTTTAATCCAATTCCTTTGGGTAAAAATATAAGTACTAATAGAGTTGTTTGTTTTATCTACCCACACAATATTTCTTTTTACTGCATATAAAACAGTATATTCAATGGTAGCCATGGATATAAAATTTATAATACAATAATAATTAACTAATGACATCAGCAAGGATGTCATCGCATGCATATAGCCAGTTAGAATTTCCTGGGCCAATCGGATTCCTTTGGGCCGGTTGTAATTGACTGCCCAATTTTTAATTTCTTTGTTGGCTCCCGGTCATTAGATGGAAAGGCTAGTTCCTATAGGAATTGGACTCTGACTGGTTACGTACATACCTGCGTGTGTAGCGTCTTTGGTATTTTTTTTTCTTTTGCACGTTTTATATGTGCCTTATCAAGTGATGAGTACGTGACTTATCAAGTTGTATGTGAGACGTGTCATGTCAACTTATTTGTACATTAAAATATTCATATGTAACGCTATATTTTTTTAATCTTAACTGTTAATTTCTAATATCGACGATCGAGATAATTCAATATATGTGGACAAACGTGAAAGCTTGTTTGCCTCTTGTCTTAATTATATAATAGATTGGTTGTTTTAGCATGTGAAGTTGAATATTTCAAATGTATGGAAAAGAGTGAAATTAGCCTTTTGAAATAATTGAGATTTATTTTTCAAAAGACCTGAAATCAATTAATTCTAAACAAGTAAATTAAAATTTAAAATAATTGAACCAACTTTTGGAAATGGATGAAATAAGTGAAAAATATATTTCAAATATGTGAAATTGATCATTTCAGCTTGTGAAATTGAATATTTTAAATGTATGGAAAAGAGTGAAATTAACTATTTATAATTATCGAGACAAACTTTTTGAAACGGATGAAATCATTTTTCTAAAATAACTGAATTGGTATTTGAAATCTGTTTTCTAAAAGATTAGAAATTAGTTTTTAAAATTATTGAAATTTTATTTGAAATGAAATTTTAAAAACAATATCATTTCTAATTAGTCAATGAAACCACTAATTGGAATTCTGAAAATATTCTAAAAAGTTATTGAATTGAACTAAATTAGCTGATAAAATTATGTAATTAATGAGCTAAGGACACCGGTTTAAACTGAAAATGCTGTAGGTGCGGGATGTTGTTAGTACTCGGAGTCAGAACATGTCACGTGGTAGGGCCTATCACGTTGCAGGGCCTGGCAAGGAATACGAAGGTGGAGAATTTGGGAAGGAACTGGAATCCTGTATATACCTAAGAAATTCATCCTCACTACTCTATTTTATATTAATATGCAACTACTTCAACTCGGCCATGTTTGTGCCTGCTACTCACGTATTCCTGAAGCCACGTCATCTTCGGTTACTTTCCTCATTGTGTTGGGTGTTACAAAATTCTAGTGAGCCAATTTATTTCAGCCATAAGTGGAGAGCTGAAACAGAGTTTCTAACCGCCGAACTTAGCATGGCAAACTTGCACCATTAGAGTTTTCATTCCAGTGCAGAGATGGAAATATTTAGAGTAAATTTCAGTTTTTTTTACCTCCTCTTTTGGCATTTTGACATGAATGACCGCATTTAAGAGATTTTCATCCGTTTTATTGCATTTAACAAAATTTGTGCTAAATTTTACTCTTTTCTATCTCTGAGCACCTCCTGTCGCGAGTCATTATCTGGGGACGGAGCTGCCGGCAAGTTTCCAGCGATAGCAATGCATGTGCGCTGGCAGGGGATGGGGATGGGGCTGACTTGTTGCTTTGTGCGCCAAAGCAACACATGTGCTGCTGGCAACCAGCACGGTAAATTAGATAATGCTCACCACTATGTACGTTCAAACCCGTGCCAAATTCTCTTTTCCTTCATTTGACATCGATGCCCTCCGTCGGTGCAATAATTTTTTCCTTCTGAAAATCAGAACAAGTAGCTGCTCGGATGCCAATACACAAAGCAGCAAATTATTAGCTCCCTGACCCACCGAAGGAAACAAACCAAATACACAAAGCAAGTAGTTGGCTCGATTGAGTTCTTTTTATTCGTGTCTACGTCTCACTTTTTTTTCCAGGCTGTGAACATGTATTATATTCACTAAATGATACTTTGTGAAACTTAATCCGCTCACTGACCCAATGAAAACCTCTATATACGTCAACTCATTCGACTACATTCATATACACAATGTAGCTAAATCGTTTGGCTATTCTATGTTTATTTGTCGTTTCAAACGGTTTGACACGACTACAACACACCTCCTAAAGTGATTTGAGAGTCGCTCCAAACCAATTAGAGCAGTCACTTAGTGCAGTCAAACAATTTGACGGCACCACATGTATGAATATAGCCAAACGGTTTAGCGTGACTCCGGATTAGACTCGCAAATAATTAAGTTATTTTGGAGTCAATGAGCGGATTGTGTTCCGCGAATTGTCATTTAGTAAAAGTAATACTGTAAACACACGCTGGTGAGACCGTGCCAAAGTCCTGGCCATTGACCCTATCCAGAGCATTCTCGACACCGCCACAAGACAGGGCAAGCTACACCGGATAGGGGGCAGGGCCACCTGCATGCGCTCCTCGCTATATGCCGATGATGCCGCCATATATGTGGCGCCTTTCAAGGAGGACATCCAGCAATTAACCTCCATCCTGACTGGGTTTGGCGAAGTCACCGGTCTCACAACGAACCTCGAAAAGAGCTCGGTGGTTCCTATTAGTTGCAGCGGCATTGACCTGGATGCCGTTCTTGAGTGCTTTCCGGCCAAATGTGCTACTTTCCCAATGCGCTACCTCGGCCTCCCACTGTCCGTTCACCGGCTCAGGAAAATTAATCTTCAACACTTGGTAGACAAAGCTGCAGGGAGCTTGGTTCCTTGGCAGGGCCGGTTCATCACGGCGGCTGGGCGAACCGAGTTGGTTAGATCGGTGACCACCTCCCAGGCCACTTTCCATGCCACAGCGATTAAACTTCCTGAGAGTACTCTGAGCAATCTCAATAAACTCGAGAGGGCCTTCCTTTGGGCGGGAGCGGAGAAGGTCTCTGGCGGGCAATGCAAGGTCAACTGGAAGGCCGTGTGCAGACCAAAGAGCCTTGGCGGCTTGGGAGTCCTCGACCTTCACTTATATGCGAGAGCATTGCGCCTCAGATGGCTATGGTACGAATGGAAGGAACCCGATAGACCATGGGTCGGCTTGGGAAACCCATGCGACTCCATGGACAGAGAGCTCTTCTATGCGGCGACTACTATCACCGTGGGGGATGGTCGGATGGCGCTTTTCTGGCACTCACCGTGGCTGGAAGGAAAGAAACCCAAGGACATCACCCCGCTCGTGTTTGCGAGCTCATCCAACAAGAATAAATCTGTAAAGGAGGCCATGCAGGATCAAAATTGGGTGCACTGGATTAAAATGGAGGATGGGCTTTCAGTTGACCATATTGCACAGTTCTGCACGCTTTGGGAGAAGCTCAGCCAAGTTGAACTTCGAGATGACATGGCCGATGACATAAAGTGGAACCTCACGACCAATGGCACATATTCGTCCGCCTCGTCCTACAAGGTGCAATTCGAAGGGGCGGTGGCAACCAACATGAAGAAAGTGATATGGGGAAACTGGGCACCCCCCAAGTGCAAGTTTTTCGCGTGGCTCATGAACAAGAACAGGGTTTGGACGGCAGACCGGCTACAACGGCGAGGGTGGCCAAATTGCAATTTATGCCAACTATGCAAAAGGGAGCCGGAGACGGCGGCACACATTATGTTCCAGTGTAGGTTCTCCACGCGCATTTGGAATGCGGTGAGATGTTGGCTTGACACGCCGGAGCTCGACACCGCCGATTGGGTTGGAATCTCTTCGGTCCATGAGTGGTGGACTAGAACGATCCTTGGCCGCGGACACCGGAGGAAGACGATCTCTTCGCTTGTAATGCTAGTCTCTTGGGAGGTTTGGAAAGAGAGAAACGCGAGGGTGTTCCAAAAGAAATCCTCAATGCCAACCACGGTGCTAGAGGGCATCAAGGTGGAGGCCAGGAATTGGGTTCTGGCCGGGGCTAAACACTTGGGATCCTTGATGCCGTGAGAGTAGTCCATTTTGTTTCTGCATTTGTTGAGGAGTAATGACCCTCATTGAGACTTTGTTCTATACTCCTTCTTTATTAATGAGATGAGGCAAAGCTTTTGTCTCCGTTTCAAAAAAAAAAGACCGTGCCAAATAAACTTCTCAGGGCATCGCTGCTCAGCCGGACATATTTTAATGGGCTGGGCATGAAGGCCTGACATCAGGCATCTGATGAATATGTTAATGAACTGGGCATCGACTACATTGTGGAAGGCCTAACATCACGAATATATATGATGAATATTTTAATGAACCGGGTCGACCACATTGTGCAAGGCTTAACATCACGAATCTGATGATTGTGGGAACGCATATGGTTGTTTGAGCTAGCTCGTGTTGCAGCTAGCACTCATGGAAGGAGCCATCCCCAGCCGGCCAAACACGAGGTTAGCCCGACTACCACATCATGTCTGCATTGCTCTGATTTCTCGGCGGCGGTTTCTAGGGTCGCCGTCGTCACCGGCGGGAACAAGGGGATCGGCTTCGAGGTGTGCCGGCAGCTAGCCAGCGACGGAGGAGTCACGGTCGTCCTGACGGCCCGGGACGAGACGAGGGGCACGGAGGCGGTCGAGAAGCTCAGAACGCTGGGGCTCACCGACGCCAACGTCGTCTTCCATCAGCTGGACATCACGGACGCTTCGAGCATCGCCACGCTAGCCGATTTCCTCAAGACCCGTTTCGGGAAGCTGGACATCCTGGCAAGTTTTAACTCCGTCTGCTTCCATTTCCATGCTGCTAGTAAGGCTGCGATGCATGCATCACCCAAGGTTTGAAGCGACTGTGGATGATTAATTTGCAGGTGAACAATGCTGCAATCGCCGGGGTTGAGTACCCCCAAGATGTGGATACCAACGAGGAAAAGGTGAGTGAAGTGTCTAATTAATCTGTTCTGCATTTGCTCGGACATGTATCATGTATGTAGGCTGAACAGTTAGCTCTGCAGTTCGCTGGCATGGATATCAAGCAGAGACTTGACTGGATGATAAAGACTGTCCGGGAGCCCATCGGCGCCGCAAAGAAAGCCGTGGAGACGAACTACTACGGCACCAAGCATGTCACCCAAGCCCTTCTGCCTCTGCTGCTGCAATCTTCCTCTTCCTCCCAGGGGAAGATAGTGTGCGTCTCCTCCGACTATGGGCTGCTCAAGGTAACTTATTTTCTTTCCATCAATCATGCATGCAAGCTCGATATCGAATATATATAAAAAGGGATTTCGATCGATCTATGTCTGCATACAGCTTATCGGCGACGAGGAGATCAGGCGGGACCTCGACGACATCGACAACCTGACGGAGGAGAGGGTGGACGGATTTTTTGTCCAAAAGGACCCCCTGCCGAACGCACTGAGATGAGCAGCACTCTTCTGAGGCTAGCTACCGATTTCAGGATGGATAATAGGATAGTTCCATGGGAAGAACTCACCGGTAGTGACACCATAATGAATGAGTTGGCTCACCAATTACGTAGGGCTGGGTGGCCTGAAAGGACTTATGCGGAGTTACGTAAAGAACTTCTTAGGTTGAATGAAAGGTGGAAGAAGGTAGTGGAGCCGAAGAGTGAAACTTTTAGAAGGACTTTAGAAAAGCATCCATTTTTATGGACTGAGGAGAGCGAGGACGAAGATGATATCTTCATGCCGCCGCTCCCGGGTTCCGCATCATCGAAGGGCAAGAGTTCTGCATCGTCAAAGGGCAAGAGTTCTGCATCCACGAAGGACAAGAGTTCTGCATCGTCGAAGGGCAAGAGTTCTGCATCCACGAAGGGCAAGAGTTCTGCATCGTCGAAGGGCAAGAGTTCTGCATCAACGGAGGATGACGATGATGACTTCATGTAGTATGTAAGCTGTATTCCAGTTGTACCTCAACAAGTAGGGCATTATGTTCTACGTTAATTTCATTTTGTAGTATGTAAGCTGTATTTATTAAGTTCAACCGCACCGTTTAATTTAGATGTGCTTGTATCTTAATTATCGGTTGTAGTCTCTTTGAAAATGTAACTGAAATAACAATGCGAATTAATAGTAATATGTCTCTCGCATACATAAAACGATATATGTCTCCTTATCAGATAGAAGCAAGTGCAATAGTAACACATACATGAAGCATGTCTCATACATAAATACTGACTCACGTATGCGAATAGTCTGAAACTAACATAGATAATGACTCATAAATAGATAATCATATCACTGCGGGGGTCGACGACGAATCTGGGTCTTCCTCGGGCGAGGACCGGAAGGCGATAAGCGCTGAGGCGGTGGACGATGCTCACGAAAACCACGACCATAGATAACCTCGTCTGTCACTGTCTGTGTCTCCTGCGACGGTGGTGGTGGTGGTGGAGTGTGAAACACCGTGTGCAAGAAGTCATAAATGTTTTCAGCTTGGTCATCGTCATCGCCATAGCCCTCTAATCCACATCCAGCACCACTAAGTATTGGTGATTGCACTGAATGCATGAACTGTCGCGACTGGTTGCCTACCGCAATATAGTAAAACGGTTAAATTAATTTGCGAACCTACAATGTTGAAAAGAATGTACAAAGTAGTGTTACCTAGTTCCATTTGATGAGACCAGGAAGAGGTGCCTGGTTGAGAAGGCGATGGCTGATTCCAGGAAGAGCTCCCTGGTTGTGAAGGAGATGGTTGATGCACAGAGAGGCGTGGTTGCTGCACGGAGTGTCGTGGTTCTGAACGCTGCACAGAGTGTCGTGGTTCTGAACGATGGACAGAGGGACGTGGGGGCCGATGTGCGGGACGAGGAATGACAACATCCGTAGATCGCCTACATGTAAGTGATGCGTAAATCCCTCTTAACTTCTCATCCATACGCCTCAACCATGAGAGGTACTCTGGCTGTGGGATAGTATCCCCCCTCTCAACCTGCCGCATTAAAGCGGAAACCTCCTCTCGCGCCTGGACTGTCAAGTCACTCTGCACATGAAGAGTTAACCCATTGTATATGATAAGGTTATGATAGAACTACACATATGAGAAGCATGACACGTACCGCGTGGTGTCTCGTTCCCACAACAGAGGTAGTTGGGTACATATCACTGGTCAGAGGGGCTTCAATCTGATCAGGAGCAGCTGATGGAACCAAGTAGATCCTCGTTGTATGCCGGTAAGTTTGTAAATACAACCCAAACTTGTCCCAGTCAAAGGGCCCAACCTCATTCCAGATATTTGTCGGTGCCGTAGTCCATTCTTGAACGTAAGGGCTAATGCTCTGAAGCCAAACAACCATGGACTTGTTTCCTCCTACGTGACTGTACCTGAGATTGACAGATTAATCCGATTGACATGCGCGTTGCATGGTTAGATATATTCTGAATGTAGTGCTGACAACTTTAATATTATTACTTACTTGTGAACGTGGTCTGGTATCCGTGGAATATCTGGAATTGCAGGCTCTTGACATAGACCAAACTGTCTCATCACCCTATGAAGAGCCATCTCCTCAACCGTCACGTCGAACACCAACTTTGCCTTGGTCATCCAGTAGTGCCGATCTCTAGTGCATAAGGCAGAGATCCCAACTGGATACCTGGATGTTATAGTCTGATACGAGTAGGGCTCCCAGATAACTTGATCCTCATGCAAACTATCAAACTGCACCGTGAAGGACGGGTAGCAGCCCTTCACCTGGGTATGTGCAAACTGTCTCTGTACATGACAACAAATTTACATTAGTAATACTATTGCACGGCAAAAATAATCGAAGGAATTACATAATTTAAAACTACCTCTCTCCGTGCCCAAACAGATCCCATAGTAGGCAAGTCGCCGATAGCAAGCACGTAAGCCCCTGCCATGTCCTCCAACCCAAACGGTGTGTCAATGGAGACATAGGGTCGTCCAATAGGGAATCTCTCGTAAGACCAGAGCTGCAACAATAGTGGACATCCAACCAGACCTGACTTTCTAGACTTCAATAAGCAACCTTTGCACAAGCCTCTATACGTAGCTGTTAACACGGCAGAACCAAAACTCCTCTGGACAATATCCGTAGGGCAACGTGCGTCAGCTATCTCTCGTGCAATACCGATGAATCGTGCATCAACAGTGGTCACGTGGTTCTCCGTGAACATCGTCTTGCCGAACAACCATAGAATATATGCCTCTAGGGATCGATCAATCTGTGCGTCTGACAAATCTACTGCGGGGTATCCTAATGAGACAATCTACATAGAAAACATACAATTGTGTGAACGATGTACTATTGGTAACTAAAAAAACATAGTCATGTGGCCACGAAGGTTACCTGAAACTGGCTCAACCACCTAAAACGTGGCCCGTGAGGATCATCATTTAAGCCCGTAGCAGTTGGCACCGCAGCTAGAAAACGGGCCTGCATATTTGCAAGCCAGCCAGGTTCTGCCTCTAAAGGACCTATGGCATCACCGGCCAAAGGTAATCCCAACAAGTAGGAGACATCCTGTAAAGTAGGCGCCATCTCTCCCCAGGGAAAGTGAAAGGTGTGTGTCTCTGGTCTCCATCTATCTACTAAGCAAGTAAGGAGTGACCTGTCGTAAGAGAATCGTTTCACTTGCCTCTTTTTCAACTGCATTGGTTCACCTGCCTCATCCAAGTTCGGATGGTCAACCCACTCTTCCAACGTACCCTCAACCAGCCGTGCCAAGGGTAGAAGTCCAGCCCAACTTAACCTACAAAAAAAGAGAATGTAGCATGAAAAGTAAGTAATTATATGTTTCAATACCTATGTCAAACATGTAAGGCACTATATGTATCAATACCTATCAACCCATGAAGGGTGTATCATCCAGTTAGTCTTCGGGGTGCGAGTGACCAAAACGTCTAAGTTCTTGCCCCCTTGCATAAGTGCAGCCCGGTGACCTCTATCAATCGTACCATTAAGCAACGGATACAAAGACATATCTGCAATCAAAACATAGTCCAGACATTGCAAATTAATACATAGTTCAGACATACAAAGTAAAACATAGTTCAGTCGACATTACAAATTAATACATAGTTCGGACATACAAAGTAAAATATAGTCCAGCCGACATTATAAATTAATACATAGTTCAGACATTGCAAAATAAAACATAGTCCAGACGATATTACAAATTAAAACATTCTCCCCCACATTATATAGCTTCTGAGTTATTCCTTCCTCGTCGTCCCCTTCTGCCTCGACTGCCACGACCACGTCCGCCTCTTGCTCCTGTTGTTGCAGCCGTCGATGTGGAAGCACTCGTCGATGTGGAAGCACCATCTTTGTTCAGGTCAGGACAATATTTCATCCTATGCCCATAAGCCGCGCATAGCAAACATTGTCTGGTTGCTCCACCAGCTTCAGATTGGTCCATATCATTTCGGATTCGACGGGCCTTACGTCGACCCCTGCTTGTTCGCCGAAGTTCTGGATCTGGGATGTATACTCTCTCACCGTCACACGCCCCGATCTCTTCGCCGGCGAGGTCGACCACGTTCGGTCGTCACTCACCAGGAGCAGCGCGCCTCCCCGCAGTACGCCGCCGACAACCACGAGACGTGGGCGGCGTACTTCCAGCGCCGCCAGGAGCAACGCCTCGCCTCCACCAACGGGGCACCGGTGGTGGCGGGCGGCCGGTGGAACAGCGAGGGGCGACGCCTGTGATGGTCCGTCCCCAGCCGGACGCCCCGCGAGGTTCTCGCGCACCTCGAGGGCGGCAACAACCCGCCGCTCGCATGCCCTCAGGGACCGGCTGTCGCTCCGGTGCCCCGCCGCGATGTCGGGCAATGGATGCCAAAGAGGTTTGCCTCCGGTTTGTTGTCCTCGTCCCGTTCCTCCTACCACTCCTCTTCCCACTCCTCCGGCTCTCCGGCGGTGTTCTGCGTCAAGGCCGAGCCCGTAGCGGTGACCCCGCTCGGCCGGCGCACCCGCTCGGCCGGCATCGTCATCAACGAAGGCGGCGGGCGCGCCTCGTCCTCGGCTCCTCCCCGACTCGTCAAGCCGAAGACGGAGCCAGGGCTCCCCGCCGTGAATACGGAGCCCGGGCTCGTGTGATGGCCTGACTTATTAAGGATGATAGACTACTCATATCAATAAGGAATCCTTCTTTTCCGGGAGCCCATTCAGACAGAACTCCAAAGTTAAGCGTGCTCAGCTTGGAGTAGTGTTAGGATGGGTGACCGACCGGGAAGTTGCTCCCGGGTGCGCATGAGTGAGGACAAAATGCGCAGAAAAGACTAGTATTGATCTGTGGGGCTAGTCTAGATCCCGCCAGGAGTAACGACCACCGGTGGATGTGTCCGGAGCGTTACAAGTTGGTATCAGAGCTGACCCTTACGGTTACACGGATGGTTGCGGACAGGTGCGTGGTCATGTTGTTCATGACGTTTGT